CGTTCCGGGGGAGAGGGGGGAGGGGAGGAGGAGGGGGAGGAGGAGGAGGAGGAGGAGGAGGAGGAGGAGGAGGAGGAGGAGGAGGAGGAGGAGGAGGAGGAGGAGGAGGAGGAGGAGGAGGAGGAGGAGCAGGAGGAGGAGGCGGAGGGGGAGGAGGAGAGGGGGGGGAGGAGGTGGGGGCCGACCTGGCGACCTGGCGAAGGACCCAACCATATGCAATTGTGAGTAACGCGTTGTGGGTGCCGCTTTCGGTGGGCCCCGAAGCGCGTGAGGGGCGCGCCGTAATGGGTTGAGGGAACGCAAGCGGGCGGTCCCACTGGGGCCTTCGGTGGAGCTCTCTGTGGCGCCGCGAAACGCTGTACTGGGTGGGGGGGGACGCATGCGGGCGGTGCCACTAGGGCCTTCGGTGGAGCCCCCTGTGGGGCCACGAAACCTCGTGCAGGCCGCCGACAGGTCTGCGCCGACGATGAGCGTCAAGGACGCCGCCAAGATGATGAACAGTGCCAACCCGAAGAACACCGGTGGCATGCACGGGCTGCTCCCGGTGCACGTGGGCATGCGGATCCGGCTCCTGGAAGCGCTCGACCTCAAGAACGGCCTCGTCAAGGATGCCGAGGGGCAGATCGTGCACATCGTCGTGGACCCTCGAGATCGGGACGACGTCGAGAGAGCCGAGAGAGAGGGGGAGAAGAGGATCTACCTGAAGCGCTTGCCGCTGGGGTTCTGGGTGCGCATGGAGAAGTACGCGAGCGCGCCCTTCGTGGACGACCTGCAGCGCCACGACGACAGCCTCACGGGGGACCTCGCGGGCCCGCTGGTGTTCATCGAGCCCCGCACGTCGGAGCCGTTCACCTTCCGCACCTCCAAGGTCACGCGGACGGGCTTCCCGTTCTCGCACGGCAGGGTCATCACCACGGTGGCGTGCCAGGGGCGCACCATGCGAGAAGGCGACGGGGCGGGGGAATGGCGCTCTGGGAACGGCCAGACCTCCGGGGCGCGAGCAGTCCGCGGCCAGACCTCGGTCCCGCGGACTCTCGCCCTGGGCCGTCAGCTGCCCGGCGCACTGCTCCCTCGGCCGACGTCGCCCAGGCGTGATTCTGGACTGCGGCCGCCACGAGGTCGGGAACGGCAAGAAGGAGGACGACGACTGGTGGCTGGAGCTCTATGTGCTGCTCTCGCGCGCCACGCGCCACGAGGACCTCCTGCTCACGCGGGCGCCGCGCATCGAGTTCTTCCTGGCAGGGCCGCCGGAGGGCTTGCGGAAGCAGCTGGAGCAGTTTGCGGCGCGCACGAAGCGTTGCAGGAGGGAGGCGACGGCCCTCGCCGGGGAGCTCGGCTTCACCGAGTTTATCCGCGAGGCCTGACCTGAGGAGCGTCCCCCCCGAGCCGCGCCATCTCTCGACTGCCCGACTCTTTGTTTGGCCTCGCGCCGCGGACGACCCGCGCGCGTCGCTGGGACCCTCTCGGGGCGACCTGCGCGCGTCGCGGGAACTCCGTGCTGCGGGGCGCCCGGCGCCTCGTTCGCCCGTCGTCGCTCTGCCCAGCAGTCAGAGCCTTGCCCGCTATCAGCCAGCCAGTTAGCTAGCCAGCTCTCTGCCCCGCGCAGCGGACGACCCGCGCGCGTCGCTGGGACCCCGCCTGGGGCGACCGGCGCGCGTCGCGGGGACTCCGCGCTGCGCTGCGCCCGCGGCCTTTGATTTTTGGAGTGCGCGGGCAAAGAGGGAGGAAAAGGAGGGACGAAAGCGGGCGCGATCCTCGCAAGGGGCGTGCCGACATGGGCGTCGCGGCGTGCGGGCGCTGCCGTCGGGGTTCCCGCGGAAGCTGCCTGCGGCGGCCACGCCCAGAGTCACGAGCGTTCGGACAGGCATGCCCGAACCATTCACATTCATATACATTTACATTGGGCGTGGCCATGATGGCATCCACGCAAATCTACTCACTCCCACGCAGACTCATTCACACTCAGACTCACTCGCGGTCTGACTCGCCCGCGTTCAGTCTCTCGTAATTCGACCTGTCGTATTCCTTTGCATTGTGTACCCCGCCACAGTTCGGCACACCCCTCATACGGTTCGTGGCCTCATAGGGAGCGCCACCGAAGAAGATATTCACAATTGCGGTACTCACAACTGCATATGGTTGGGTCCTTCGCCAGGATAATTCCCAACCATCCTGTGGTGTTGGGTCCTCGTTTTGAAGAGACGGTGCCCGCGTCCTCTCCTCTCCTCTCCTCTCCTCCTCTTCCCCCTCCTCCCTCCTCCCCCTCCTTGCCTCTGCTCTCGGCACACCTCTCACGCGTTTCGTGCGGCCCATAGGGAGCTCCACCGAAGGCCCCAGTGGGGGTGTTCGCATGCGGTTCCCCCACCCAGGGCAGCGTTTCGTGCCCCAGCTCTAGGGTGCGGTTCGCACCTCTTCCCACATGCGGTTCCCCCACCCAGGGCAGCGTTTCGTGGCCCCATAGGGAGCTCCACCGAAGGCCCCAGTGGGGGTGTTCGCATGCGGTTCCCCCACCCAGGGCAGCGTTTCGTGGCCCCATAGGGAGCTCCACCGAAGGCCCCAGTGGGGGTGTTCGCATGCGGTTCCCCCACCCAGGGCAGCGTTTCGTGGCCCCATAGGGAGCTCCACCGAAGGCCCCAGTGGGGGTGTTCGCATGCGGTTCCCCCACCCAGGGCAGCGTTTCGTGGCCCCATAGGGAGCTCCACCGAAGGCCCCAGTGGGGGTGTTCGCATGCGGTTCCCCCACCAGGGCAGCGTTTCGTGGCCCCATAGGGAGCTCCACCGAAGGCCCCAGTGGGGGTGTTCGCATGCGGTTCCCCCACCCAGGGCAGCGTTTCGTAGCCCCATAGGGAGCTCCACCGAAGGCCCCAGTGGGGGTGTTCGCATGCGGTTCCCCACCCAGGGCAGCGTTTCGTGGCCCCATAGGGAGCTCCACCGAAGGCCCCAGTGGGGGTGTTCGCATGCGGTTCCCCCACCCAGGGCAGCGTTTCGTAGCCCCATAGGGAGCTCCACCGAAGGCCCCAGTGGGGGTGTTCGCATGCGGTTCCCCCACCCAGGGCAGCGTTTCGTGGCCCCATAGGGAGCTCCACCGAAGGCCCCAGTGGGGGTGTTCGCATGCGGTTCCCCCACCCAGGGCAGCGTTTCGTGGCCCCATAGGGAGCTCCACCGAAGGCCCCAGTGGGGGTGTCCACATGCGGTTCCCCCACCCAGGGCAGCGTTTCGTGGCCCCATAGGGAGCTCCACCGAAGGCCCCAGTGGGGGTGTCCGCATGCGGTTCCCCCACCCAGGGCAGCGTTTCGTGGCCCCATAGGGAGCTCCACCGAAGGCCCCAGCGGGGGTGTCCACATGCGGTTCCCCCACCCAGGGCAGCGTTTCGTGGCCCCATAGGGAGCTCCACCGAAGGCCCCAGTGGGGGTGTCCACATGCGGTTCCCCCACCCAGGGCAGCGTTTCGTGGCCCCATAGGGAGCTCCACCGAAGGCCCCAGTGGGGGTGTTCCGCATGCGGTTCCCCCACCCAGGGCAGCGTTTCGTGGCCCCATAGGGAGCTCCACCGAAGGCCCCAGTGGGGGTGTTCGCATGCGGTTCCCCCACCCAGGGCAGCGTTTCGTGGCCCCATAGGGAGCTCCACCGAAGGCCCCAGTGGGGGTGTTCGCATGCGGCTTCCCCCACCCAGGGCAGCGTTTCGTGGCACCATAGGGAGCTCCACCGAAGGCCCCAGTGGCGCAGTTCGCATGCGGTTCCCCCACCCAGGGCAGCGTTTCGTAGCCCCATAGGGAGCTCCACCGAAGGCCCGCCCCGGTGGCGCAGTCCGCATGCGGTTCCCCCTATCCAAGGCAGCGCTTCGTGGCCCCATATGGAGCCCCACCGAAAGCGGCACCCACAACGCGTTACCAACAATTGCTTATGGTTGGGTCTTTCGCCAGGATAATTTAATGGGGAATCTGGTTAGTTGTGTTTATTTATTTGTGTGTCCCAGTTCCTCTTCATTCATTAGCCACGATCCGACATGTTGTTCTGTCTCGCTGTTCGGGGGTAATTTGGGTCCAATACTTCTTTGCTCTGCTCTGCTCCCAGCGCGGGCGCTGGCTTGGCCAGGGTCGCGACCCTAGCCGGCGAGGGGCGATGGTCAGGATATGAGTAAGAGCAAAAAAAAAGGATTGCAAAAAAAACAAAGGATTGCAAAAACAAGGATTTGTTTTGTTTTGTTTGTTTTTGTTTTTTTTTGTTTTTTTGCAATCCTTCGTGTAAGAGCCCGCGTCACGAGGCATGGATTTCCCACGCTCGAGCTCGGCAAGGCATCTCTCGCAGCTGGAGCCCGCTCTTGGATCGCTGATCGATGGATTGGTTGGTTCTCGTGCCCCCCATCATTATCGTCATCATCCGCATCACCAACATGACCCTCATCATCATCATCATCATCATCATCATCATCAGCTGCATCAGCATATTTATTATTTGTCTTCGTAATATTCGTTTTACTCTTCTTATCAGTATTATTCCTACGGTTCTTCTTCGTTATCATCATCAGAATCCTTAGCATCATCATCAGCAGCAGCAGCATCATCAGCAGCATCATCATCACCACCATCATCATCCTCATCACCAGAATCACCATCATCGTCATCCTCATTCTCAACATCATCCGCATCAGCATCCTCATCCTCATCCCCACCATCATCATCCGCATCATCGTCATCGTCATCGTCATAATCATCACCATCACCATCATCATCATCATCATCAGCAGCATCATCATCGCCATCGTCATCATCAGCATCATAAGCACCATCATAATCATCATCAGCATCATCATCATCGTCATCATCATCAGCATCATCATCATCGTCATCGTTATCGTCATGATCATCCACATCACCAACAGCATCATCATCATCATCATCATCATCAGCAGCAGCAGCAGCAGCAGCAGCAGCAGAATCATGTTCCTCCTCCCGTAGCGCCTCCTCTGCTCCAAGTCTGTAGCCCGCCGGGATGCGCTGCAGGTGGTTCATGACGGCGGGCATCGGAGAGACGGCGCTGCGAAACCTCCGGTGCAAGTCGGACAGCCAGGCCCGCGGGCCAAGCGCGGCGGTGTTAGGCGGAAGAGAATCATGTGTCGGGTGTTGCCAGCGGCGTCCCTGGCGCAAGGTGTCCCCAGGCTTTCCAGGGAGGCCCCCACGGCCTCCAGAGCAGCCATCATTTGGCCCAGAGTGCCCCAGGAGCTCCAAAATGGAACGAAAAGCTGGAGGCACATTGGGCCAGGGACACCTTTGGCAAACCCCGAGTTGGGAGCGACCAGCCGCTAGGTCGGGCAGTGGCAGCGCCGGGAAAGTTGGGGCGGCGACCAGGTCGGGCGGTTGGGTCGGGCACTGGCAGAGAGGGCTGGGGCCTCCTCACGGTGCTGACTTGTCTCTCGCGGCGTCGGGTCGCGGTGTGTCTCTTCTGCCGCCGCAGCTGCTTCGTGGCACGAGCCCCTGGGGGATCTCGACCCCTTCCCCCATGCAGGGCCGGCTCTTCCTCGAGTCGTCTTTGGACGGCCCCCAGGGCCCAGCGAGGGCCCCCAGAGGCCGACCACGGCGAAACGAATCCGCCTTGATGCCTGCGCAGTGCCTCGGAGGTCTGGGGCTCCGCTTTCCTCGCGGCGTCGTACGTCGAGGGCAACCCGCCTCGCGTCTTCGACGAAGGGCGGCTGCACACCGCGGCCGCCAGGCCCCAAGGGGCCCGGTGCTCCCTGGGAGCTCCGCCTCGCGCTCTCGGGTGGAGATTCTTCGGGACGACAGAACTCCAGACCAGGGGGAGGGGGCAGGGGGAGGGGACAGCGGGAGGGGTAAACCCGGGAATCGAGCAGGGTATCGAGTGCAGAATTGGTTTACCCCAATATTGAATGTCCGTCGGATCTTCGAAAGAACAAGGACGTGTAATGTTCATAGATGTGCGAACCTTCTACGCTTGTGCAATAGACTCGACGAAAAGCAAGATGGGGGCAACTGAATGTTGTAGTCGATCCCCTACTCGGAGGGGGAGGGGAGAGGGGCAGGGGCAAGCCTCCCCCCGACGACGAAGCAAGGTGGGTCGGAAGAGGAAATGCCCCGAACCGCTCACGCCCTCGAGGGCTGCCGGCATGGTCCCGCGGTGCGGCGTGCGCCGGACCTCCCCGGGGGGAGCGCAGGCCTCCCGCCCCCCCCCCCTGGCGAGGACCTGCTGCTGAGGGCGCGGGCCCTGCAGAACGGCACCTCCGAGGACGAAGGCACCGGCCGCGGGCCCCCCCGCCGACCGCGGGCCTCCCCGCCGCCGCCGTCGCCCGCCGTCGGCGCCGCCGCCATCGTCGCCATCGTCGCCGTCGTCGCCGTCGTCGTCGTCGTCGCCGTCGTCGTCGTCGTCGTCGTCGTCGTCGTCGTCGTCGCCGTCGTCGTCGTCGTCGTCGTCGCAGGTCTCTCCCAGACGCTCCAGGCGCCTGGGATCTGCCCAGGTCTCCGACGATCGGGTTCTCTTCGACCGGCGGTGTGCCGCCTCGAGCTCGGCCCTCGGGGGCCGCTCCCGGGCCCGGGGGCCCTCGGAAATAAGGGAGCCAGCACGAGGAGCTGCCCCGGGGGGGGGGGGGAAGCGTTCTCGGGAAGCCTGGGGGCCGCAGGCGGCAAAGAATCGGGCCGGCGGAAGGCTGCTGCCAGTTTGGGGCCTCCGGGCGCCCCCCCAGGGCCGTGAGCGAGCTGCCCAGGATGAGCACGCGTCCCTGGGGGAGGGGTCCAGACTCAAGCCGTGGCGAAGCGTCCTGGCTCGCCGACAGCCCTACCAAACGATGATCTAAGAGCCTTCTGTGGTTTCCACGACGTGTTCTTAGAACGTTCCTGATTGGGACTGTCTGGGTTTATCACATCGGGTTTACGTTCTAAGAACATTGGTTTTGTTCTCAGAGCATTTGTGGGTTCTAAGAGCATGTCGTGGTAGGACTATAGGAATGCCGGGGCGGTCGGTCCCTGCTCCACAGACCGTCCCGAAGGGGGCCCACGTCGCGAGAAAGACGCAGCGTCAGAGGGCCGCGAGCGAGGGCCGTCGGTTCCCGTCGTGTTTTTTTTGTTCGCTCGCGGCGGTGTGCCGTGGATGCTCTGCTCCACGAGGCTCGGGCACGGTGAGGACACTGGACAGCCAGCCCGCATCGTGTAAGGATGGGCGACCTTCCCAAGGGTGCCCATTGTTGATTGCTAAGTATTCGGACGTTCTTTGATTTTTTGGGCGGCCAAGATCCTTTCATTTCTAATTGTTCCATCCAGAGGCCACCAGGGGCCACGAACAATTAGAAACGAGCACACTTAGAAATGAGCACGATTAGAAATTAACGACGTGTACCCGTGCATCATTGCCTCCTCGGTCCATCCTTCGCCATTTTCGTTGGCCGCGCCCCGCTCGAAAAGCTGCGAGATGGGCTTCCAAGGCCCTTGCATCCTCATCGCGCATCCTTGTGATGCGGGCCGACTGTGAGGAGTCCAGGGTCTGAAGGCTGGCTGAGCGCCCATTGAGGCTTGGCCATGGGCATCACCAGAGTATTCCAGGGTCTGGAGCCTCATGTGCACATTCCTTTGGACGATCGCCCCGCCGCTCCGCGCGCGCGGGCGGCGCGGGTCGGGCGACGGCCAACCGCGCCACGAGGCGAGCCCCGCCGTAAGGCAGAAGGGAGGCGAGTGGAACAGGGGGGGACACGAAGACTGCTACACGGAGCCGGTGTCGGCCCCGCCGCGCGGCTCGTGCCTCGATGGTGTGGTCGCTCCCGGCGCCTCGCCAGCCTTCGTGCCTCTGCCTCGCCGGCCCCAGCTCTTCCGCCCTCCCCCGTCTTCCGATGCAGCCTTCCCCCTTGCTTGGCATCGCTCGGGCGTGTGCATTTCTTCTCGGCGAGAACCCTCGAGGGCCATCCTGGTCCAGCGAGCAAAAAAAAAAAAAAAAAAACACGCGCGGCACCGAAAAATGCACGGGAGATAGACGTCCGAGCGACGGCAAGCTTGCTATCAAGCTGGGGCAGTCGATTCAGACGGTGGGTAGAGTGATTCAGGGTCCCGGCATATCGTGTTTTCGCGCTCCGTCCCTGTCGCGGGACTCCGCTCCCTTTCCTCGCAAATGCCCATCTTTACCCTTCTATCCAGATCATCATCTCCACTCGCTTTTGATTGTATGTTCCCATCCTCCTCCTCCTCCTCCTCCTCCTCCTCCTCCTCCTCTTCCTCCTCCTCCTCTTCCTCCTCCTCCTCATCATCATCATCCTCCTCCTCCTTATCATCATCATCATCATCAAACTCATCATCATCTTCTCCCTCTGTCCCAGTCTCCTCCCCTCACGCCATCGCGTCCCCGCCCCTCCCTCCCTGCAGGCGAGGACGAGTCCGACGAGGCAGGAGGGTTCGACATCTTTCACACCTTCTCCGACTACCTCGTCAACCAGGACCTCACTCCAGAGAGGTTTATGCAGATGATCAAGCAGGCCGTTGTGAGCCCAGGCAGGGACGAGTTGATGGACAAGGTTTGCCGCTCCGCCCCAGTACCTGTCTTTGTCATTTGGGGAGCCTGCAGTCCGCAGTTTGCAGTCAGCCTCTCAGCAGGTCTTGCCGTGATCTGCACCACCTCTCCGAACACACAAGCGCATGCATTCTCTTGCACCGTTGTGTTCTAGAGCTCGTGGTCGTCGGGCCCCTGGCCCACTAGAGCGTCGGGCCCCCCAGCCCCCAGAGCCCTTTATTTTTCCTTGCGCGGCTGCGTTCAAATTCAAACAGAAAAATTCGACGCCAGGATCTCTGGAGATGCGTCGCCGTCGGCGTCGCCGCCGCCGCCGTCGTCGTCGTCGCCGACGTCGACGTCGTCGTCGTCGACGTCGCCGTCGTCGACGTCGTCGTCGTCGACGTCGTCGTCGTCGACGTCGTCGTCGTCGACGTCGTCGTCGTCGTCGTCGTCGTCGACGACGTCGTCGTCGACGTCGTCGACGTCGTCGTCGTCGACGTCATCATGGGAGAAGGAGGGCGAAGGAGGGGGGCGGGGTCGCCGTCGGCGCCGGGCCCCGGGCGCCCGGCCGCGGGGCGCTTCGGCGGGGGCGCGCCCGACGGCCCAGACCGCCGACGTCATGATCGGTTCGTTCGTCGTGTCACGGCGTCGGCCCTCAGAGGTCCAGGCCCACCGGGGGGGCAGCGGTGGGGAGCCATGGAAGGTGCCAAAGAATGTCGGGTCGGGGGGAAAGGGGGGGTTGGGAAAGGGGGGGTTACGAAATTTGCTGCATGCAGCTGGTTTCGGCCTCACCGAGGGGCCCATTCCTCGATACATAGCTCCATCCGGCGCCGGGAGGCGCCGGGAAAATCAGCTACGTGAGCTGATTCTCAAACCCCCCCTTTGCTATCCCCCCCTTTCGCCCGACCCGAGAATGGAAGCCTGGGTTGAAACAAGCACGCGGAGATGGCGGGCTACCCCCGGGTCGTCTTGAATCGTATTGGGCGATTGTTCAGGGGCAACGTCAGGGGGGGATAGGCTCAGGGGGGGGGGCGCATCGACCCCCAATCGGCCATCCGTCGCCGATTGGGGGGGCCCGATAGTCCCATCCCGCCCAGGAACGCTAGGATCTGCTACCCGGGGTCTATCGCCGATCTATCGGCGATGTATCGCCGATTCCAGGTCGATGGTCCCCTCCATGCCGGTCCCCTCCGGTCGTTGTCCCTAAAAAAACCATTCCCCGGGACAGGCTTCTCGTCCTGGGCAGTTTTGGACGGCCCCGAGGCCCCGTGCGGGCCCCCAGAGGCTGAATCGTTTCTGCCATGACTCGAGGGGGTCTGGGGACGAGGCAACAGACAACGATAAGGATAACACCGATCACTTCGACAACGATCACAACGATCACAATGATCACAACCATAACAACGACAACGATAACGACGATAGCATCGTTGGTCTCGTTGGTATCATTGTTATCGTTGTCGTTGTTTTACCTTTATAGTTGTGATCGTCGGCACGCCACCTGCGCTCCATGCGAGCGGCACCCCGCGGGCCGCCGCACAGGTCGAGCGGGCCGTCGAGCCTGGGGAGCTGGTGCGGCTGATCCGCGAGCAGGCCTCCTCCGCCCTGCACGGGGGGGGGGGGGGCAGGGGTCGGTTGAGGCAGCGGCGGCCGCCCCTGCCAGCGGCACGAGCGAAGCACTTTTGTCTCGTCGGGGTGGCGAGGCAGAGGCAGTCCGCACCAGCGTGGGGCTATTCGGGGCAACCGAAAGGCGAAGTGTCTGGCGTGCAAGAGGAAGAGGCGAATCGGGGCTCAAGAGACGGGGGTCAATGCAAACGGGGGTCAGTCAGCGCGCCGGATCTTGCAGGATCCTGCAGGGACAGGGGCGCGTTGACCCGGGCTTGGGTGCAGGATCCTGCAGGATCCTGCAGGATCTTGCAGGATCTTGCAAGGCCTGACTGGCCCGGGTTTGCATTGACCCGGGTCAGAAGATCCCCGAGCGAAGACGAGGGCGGCCGCGCGGGGGAAGGAAGGGGAGGGCGCTCAGACGTGGAAGAATTCGCGAAGAGCGGCCGGAGCAGCCAGCCCAGGCAGCGGGGACCGCGGCAGCAGCCAGGGCCGGGGCCAGAACGCACCCACGGGCGCTGCCAGGGCGCAGTGACGGCGGCGAGAAAGTAGGACCAGTCCAGGAGTCGGCACGATCGAAACACATGGGCATACAGAAAGACTGGGCTCCAAGACCGACAGCAGCCCCTGTCCACTCCGGAAAAGGGTCGCTGTCGGCGCCGCCGCGGACGTTGTCCATTCGAGGAAGAAGGCCGCCTGCCCAACAGCGGCCGCTGTCGGTGTCGGACGGCATTAGTTGCGGGGCATCGTCCCCATTTGTTCCGATTCCATTTCGGGCGTCCAAATCCCATTCTTCCAGCGTCTTGGAAACAGTCAAGCCGCAACGGCCTTTCGTCGTTTTCGGCTTTCGGGGGCCCTCGCCGGGCCCTGGGACCGTCAAAAAGCGACTCGGGGCGAAAAGCCCCAGGGAAAGGACCCAGTCTTCCAGGGACCCCGTCTCGATCAGATCAAGACATCGGATCAGTCAACGGCTTAAATCCTCCCACCGTACGATGTTGTCAATCCCAGCATTTCTCTTCTTTTTTTTCGGCCCTCAGGGTCGGAGGTTGCTAGAGGCGCCCCTGGCCCAGGGTGCCCCCAGCTTTTGCGCTCGATTCCAGAAGCCCTGGGGCCCTCTTGAGCCTCGTGAGGGGTGCTCTGGACGCCTCTGGGACCTCCTTGAGAATCCTGGGGGCTTCGTGGTTCCCTTCAGGGACCATCAGAAAAAGCGATCCAGGACGAAACGACAGCCTGGGGGCAGGGGTCGGGACCGTTGAGGCCGCGGACTGAAAAAGCAGACCCGCGGACGCCGTGCGCCGCCAGAACATGACCATATCCACTGCCGCCGTGTCGTGCTCTGGGACTCGTAGACCGGAGGATATGGTTAAGTCGGGCATGTCCCTCTACAGGGGGAAATTTCAAAAATAGTCTAAAATTAGTCTGGGGACGATTTTCTGATTCTTTTTAAAAAAAATTGGGGAGTATGTTTTGAGCATTTGTCTTATTTTTCGTTCGAAATCCCCCAGTAGGGGGGCCCGCCCGACTGAAGGATATGGATACCTGCCCGCCCACTCGGGCGGGCAGATATCTTATCCACGGCTATTCGAGATCTCAGAGCACGACTCCGAAGCGGTGGATGTGGACGTGTTCTGGCGATGGGCATGGCAGGGCTCGAGACAACGGGCGGCCCTCCCTGGCGTCTCTGCCGTCCTTACTGTTAGGAGAGCTCCTGGACGCTTCTCGCCCTCGCGGCCGGATCCGCCTCGGGAAGCAGGTGGGGACGGACGCCGCTGGAGGGGTCTGGGGGGCCGATGATGACGGGACATCTCGGTCGGGCGGCACCGACATGGGCAAACAAGTGGGACCCTTGGCTCCGCTCCCCCCTTCCCCTCCCCCCCCTATTCAAAGTTGACCCTGGGGCATGCGGGAGCACAGGCTCGAAATGGCAAAAAGAGTGGAACCCCCAGGTCCTCCGGCAGGCCGGACGCCAACTTTGAGTCTGGGGGGGGGAAGGGAGGGGGGGGGGG